ATGAAGATGCGTGCTCGTAAGTCTTAGAAACAAAACTCCTATGCCCGGCATTGCAGTCTCTAAGGGCAATTCGACGTTCGCCTTTGGATAACACCAGGCGAAGCGAGCGGACGAAAGCAATGACGCATCTGAAAGAAGTGTCTCCGAACGCTTTAGAGCACCATCTAGTACGTTCCAGGCGCAGCCCGGGCGAATAATTCACCCGTATGATAGGTCAACAATCGGAACGAATCATGATTAGGGCTAAACCTATATTGTTCATGTTGCTGCGACCATTAAGCCCTTGAGAGCCCAAACTCATGCTTTTACATCCGAAATATACGACTCAGTCTAATCTTTGAACGATATTGATTGATTTTGAAAGACTTTTGAAGTAGTTTTCACAACGGTGGTTCTCGCCCGCTCTCTGTGACTGATGTCTGGTGATATCCGCTGCGGATAACGCCGCTCGCTCTGGTGAAAACTGCAACCACGGCACATTGATGCTCCTAAGACTGCGAGCGCTCAGGCTCGAATTATTTTGTTTAGTTTGTTTCATTAGTCGATTATGCAGACGAATCGTCCTTGGCAAACACAGAGTGACCTTTTTTCTTTCTTTTTTACCTCGTTTCGATCCACTCTATCAAACAGTTATGAGAGGGTTCCCTTTTTCCGAGCAATGGGAAACTTTTTATTGGTTTTGCTCGATGATGTATTGCCGCTGTTGTCTCAACGATATACGTTCTGGTGTTCTGGCATTTGGAGCGATGTATCGATATTTTATGGACTTGTTCTCCAAAAATATGGTTTTCAGATCGATATGCTAGAAACATAACATTTCCGAAATGAGAGGTTACAGCTATCTACCATGAAAAAATCGAGATGTAGATATCGCTTTTTTGTTCGGCATCGCCTTGTGTAATGCGCAGAGCGAGATTCCGCTTCAGTTTTCAACTTGTCTTCAACATGGTCAAAATCCTTGAACCTTGTGATACCGCCACGTGGTTGATGTAAGCTGTCCATCAAGTTACAGTGATTTTGTTCCACCTACCTCTTGACTCAGACGTTTTCCACTTTGGAGCGGTGCCGTGGACTGGGCGGTGAGGTACTGTGGTGGCGAATCCGTCGCGTGTGGTGGTCATGAAGCCTGCACCACGGGGGTGTAGTTTCACATAACAGGCCTAGGGCACTGAGGGGAGATGTCTAACTTGCCCTTATATTAATAAAAACAGGCTTTTCCTTGGATTTGACCAATTTTCCTCTCTAAGTGAGTGAATGGAGTCTCCCCCAGCTGAGTCCGAAACTACACTCCCGCTCCAATCCTTTTCCTCGCTCTCTCTGGACGGAGGATATTATCGTCGGGCATCATAATCATTTTGTTGGGCCTCAGTGGCCGAAACCACGCTTCGGTAATAGCCCTAGGATCGATGTTATGTAGCTTTAAACGTCACTGGATGTATAAGGCTCTGGAAATGAAGAGTGCGAGTTGAACTGCGCGACTATTAAGTGCTGCCTCGGAAACCCACGGTAGGTAGCCTCAAAGTGGGCGTCAAGCTGCAACGCAGTATTTGCGACGAGCATGTTCGAAACGCTTAGCGTGCGTTCGAAATGCCTGGTATTGTTTTGCTGATCATTGTCAAACGGTTAGCGCAATCGGCTTAGTCGCGTGATGTCGATTCTCAGTCCTTCGCACCGTTTCATTGAACATCCACGCCGAATTGGAGTTCGGCACATTTTAAGGGTTCTTTCAAACAAAGTGACCAGTAGATTCGCCACCTTCTTGGTTGGTAGCATTCTACCAATATGTTTTGATCCCCCGAAGACGAGGCGTGACAGAATTCCGCAGCAAGCGCGGCTCATTGCAGTCTACAGAAGTCACAATATCTCTGAATAACTCCAAAACATTCTGGCAATGGTGCAAAATAAGAGCAGATTAAAAAGGATATGTCAGTTGTGCACTTAAAGCATGCAGGATACACGACGAAAACACCAGAATTGTCCAGAAATCATAGCATGAAGGCGGAGCTCTAGAAGTTTAACGAGTTCCGTCAGCTGCCCTAAGATAAACATCGCATTGCAGCTTGCTCTTTCTTTGCTCCTTTTACCTGTGACACAATTATTAGAAAACTTTAAAATGTACATGATTTGGAGCTCTCTTACCTTCCCATTTGCCACCTACCTCGGAAAATCCAGAGCCTTATCCCATTGCACATATCTGTTATCTATCTATCTATCTTTATATATATATATATATATATATATATATATATTTATATATGTATGTATATATATATATATATATATATATATATATATATATATAACAAATTGGCGTGCATATATATATATATATATATATATATATATAATTGCTAGATCTCATTGTTGTACTTAGGCTCCAGAAGGTTAGGGGCAAACACACCGTTAGGGGTCCAAATTTAACTGGGGGGGGGCAGCGGTGCACAAAAAACATGCATATCGACTCCTGTGGGCCAACCCTTAATCCTGGAGGCAGCCTTGTTGAGAGGGGTATCTTTATCCTGTCAAATCATGATAGTGGTTCTTGATCATTTTCAAGCCAAGCCTTCCGTAAGCACATCAAGCCGTGCCCGCTCCCACTCTCTAAATGTGCCTGAAAATATATGGACTTAGTGCAATAATCTTCACATGGGAATCGATCTTCATTTGATGCATCTGGCGCACCGTCAAAGTTTCTCTCAAGATTGAAGGATGAAAACAATCCCCAAATTTGGTAGCTTTTTGGAGATATGCTATCACTCAATTGCTTCAAATAAGACGCAAAAGAGGCAGATAATAACGTGTTTTCGGCGAGATCAGCTTTGAGGAAATCAAGGGCGAGATCAGTCCGAGGCAATTGACGGTTCATTGACGGATAAATACGTGGGTTCGTGTTTTACGTATCCGGAAAATTGAAAGTTTCTTGCCTGCGTTGCCTGTTATGTAAGGATTAATAAGGTAGCTACCTGGGCCACCTACAGGTAGGTTGAGCACGTTGCTGCAGTTTGGGTGGAATTAAAAACATATTGGGTGTGTATCATAATTTGGTCGCTAGGCCCCATCTTTGAAAAGCAATCCACATCGTGGGTAAGTTTTATTGATGTGCTAAGTTTTGTACATGGTTGTGCTGGGCTCTGTTCATGGCACATGCTGATTTTGGCAATTTCTCCTTCCACTAATCTTCCATTGTATGTTTTCATGAGCTGCACATTTCACAGTTAACATGTTTTTCCGTAAAGTAGTGTTCGTTTAAATATGAATGCAGTTGCCATGTATTTTTTATAATTCTGCGTTGAAAGCAGAAGGGCAATATGCTCTTGTACAGAATGTGCCAGGATGCTGTGTGTTCCTGCTGATTTGCTTGTTTGGTGCATCATGTGGCATAAATGTAAATTTTGGGGGCTGAAACATAATGTATGTGTTACATTGATGTACTGATGACCACATGGTGAGGCAGGCAAAGGCAGCCATTTCCTTACTTGGACTGCAGATCAGGTTTGCATGGACAAACAGGAATATGTCATGGGACACCCCATTGTGTTATGCTTGTGGACAGCTTGGCTGTCTGGCTAGCTGCAAGATGTGTGTCACCTGCAATTCTGGGTTGAATAACCTCCATGCAACAGAAGTGACATGAATCATTAAACTTATAATATGCTTACAAGGATACATTGGCAAGACTGAGTGCACCTTACATTTTCAATGATCATTTACAAAATACTAAAAGAAAATCCTGGTAAGTATGCTTTATGAGAGTGAAGCAACTAATCACACATGCCTAGCTAGCAAGTCATTTACACATACACCTGTTTGGCAGATGTGAGGACAGAGCTGATGGAAAAGTCAAAATTATTCATGCTCTTTAGACATCAAACCAAGACCAGCACTATAATTAACTGCTGGTCTACTCTCTGTGGTATGCCTATGTAAAAGTAAAAACCTGCTCAAGAATTTACAAACCACCAGAACTAAACCACCAGACATTTGTGCTGGCGGTGGCCCACCAGAGACTGCATACTGTTTCCTTTCCTCTCCCCTTTACCTCCCCCCTCTTCTCTCCCACATCTCATGGTGATAAAAGCTGAAAATTTGTGCTCCTCTTGTGGTTTTTGCACATCACTCAACCAGCCAAATGTAAAATGAAAACATGAGCCATTTCCAAAGGGCTTTGGCCATCATCGTAGCCATATCAAGGCCATACTCTGTATGAGGTAACATTTTATCTCACAGATAGCAGTTTACGGGATCACAATGCACAGCACATAGCAACAATTTTCCAAAAATTTTCAGACCAAGCGATTCGCCCAAAAACTTTCAGTGGGTGTGGACAGCAGATGGGCTACTGGGTGGCGTTGTCGGGCCGGGTGTCCGCCGCCGGCCCAAGACGGCTATAGGTGTAATCTGGAGTGGCCGCGGGCGCCTGGCCCGTGTCGGCTTACGGATCGGGCGAGTGGGCGGTGTGTCGTGGGTTCCCTGGCGGCGATGACCATATCTTGTTATTGTTAGGAGAGGCGCTCAGATGTAAGCATTCCACTTATGCGCCAATCCGCTCATCATATTATGTACTGCTTGATGTCCGTAATCGAAAATAAACATCAAATCACATAAAAAATCAGCGCGGCAGTCTGTGGAATTCGCGATGTTAGTCCTTTGCTCATTGTCTTCATCATACTTGAGCAGTGCATGTGAGCAAGCCTAGTAGTATGTTCTAAAAGCATTCCAGTCACTTTTGTGCATGGATACACCTGGTTATTCCTTTGCACAACACATGAGTCACATTGAAGACCCGTCGCATATGCTCGCATCTGTTGTCTCGTTTCAAAAATGCCACCACACTTTTGTATTACTCTGCTGCAATGCATTATGGATGCAATACCCATATGATGTTTGAGTTTGGAGACCTGACTTGGTGCATTTATTGTTATTTGTTGCTTTTACCCAGGAGAATGGGAAAAGCTCGAGCCAGGCGGGGACGAGCGCCTCGGCCGGATCCCACGGGCAGGATGGACAGCGACAATGACATGGACAATCTGGGAGCTGGAGATGCCAAGGCTGACACCATCTCCAATATTGTAGAACAGGTGCTTGTTGATTTAGATCTTTACTTTCAGATGGGTAAATGACCATGCAGTTCCAGGGTGCCCAAGGATCAGCCAGTTTGAATACCGATGCTGGTGGCAGGTGTTCTGCTTTGTACACAGGATGCTAATGTGCAAGCACTGAGTGACATTGTCTTCTATCAGTTACTTGGAGTAAGGGGCATTTCAGGCTGAGGCTACTATGTTGAGAGCAACAGTTGTTGATTGCATTTTTGGCAATGAGGTGGTAATTATGAACATTATATATATATATATATATATATATATATATATATATATATATAAGCTTACAGGAAGCATTTGAACTGTAACAGCTAGAATTACATCAATGTGATCAATGCAGGATTATATTTAATTTAGCTCCCTAAATTGTGATGGACTGCCACATACACACTAATCATCACTTTCGTTTTGGTACATGATATTACGGGACGGACTGCTGCCGCCCACGCCCTGCCTTGCTGACCTGCCAGGTCCGTGCCATCTGACCCTGCCGCGCCCCTGCTGTCCGACCCCGGCGCGCCCCTGCCGTCTGATCCCGCCTTCTGACCCCGGCGCGCCCCTGCCGTCGGACCACGGCGCGCCCCTGCCGTCTGGCCGTGCTGCGCCCCCCGTCCTGACCCCGGCGCGCCCCTGCCGTCCTGACCCCGCCCTCTGACCCCGGCGCGCCGTCCGCTGCCGGCAGCTGAAGTCGGCCTGCACCGAGGAGCGGCTGAGCGGGTGTCTCACGTTCTCCCAGCTGGTGTCGCGCGAGCTGACGCTGGACGTGCTGCGCGCCCACCGGCTGGTGCGCCTGGTCGGTCCACTGCTGGTGGACCCGAACCAGGATGTGCGGCAGGCGGCCGCCGGGGCTCTCAGGTCAGGGGTCACCGGGTCACCAGCGCCCACCGCAGATGTCTCCTTCCGGTGGTGATTGTGGGCGAAGATCGGGGTGGTCCGTGCTCGATGTTGGGGATGTTTTAGGGCTCGGGTGACGAGTCCTTGAATGGGCTGTTGTTAAACCAGTTCATCCGAAAATCTGAGCATGATTGTGACGCTGATTGGCGCAGCACTGGCGTCAGGCTAGGAGTGTGTCGATTGGTGTAGACATTTACTGTACAGCTCTTCCCCGGCCAGATCCGGGCAGTGGTCTGCTCTCAGCCACTCGATGAGAGCTCGGAGCCGGCGACGGCTGCATCGACTCTGAAATGCTCTTACAGAAATCTCAGTCTATCTGGAGGCAAAGAAGGATGTGACCTGATGCTAGAACAGGACGCCCTCACATCGCTTATGACCGCCTTTAGCAAGGTAATCAGACCGCAGGCAACCATTCGCACCGGCATTAACTATGATGTTTGATATCTTGAAAATTGAATCATGCAAGACTGAGCAGATTCGTTTTAGATGTGTCTCCAGCTTGTGAAGTAAAGTAAGAGCTCATTCCCAAGTCACTGGGTCTTCTGTACTGAAGCCTCACCTAGCATATTTACGGCCGGGTATGGTTGGAGGAGTATCGCGCATGGTACTGACAGATTGCCTCTAGGTAATGATCTTTTCCATCCCTGCATTTACAGTACAATGAAGGCTGGAAACCGCAACGCAAAATCGAAAAGGGACAGGTGCTTCTAGATACCGAATCCGATGTATTCGTGCAAATAACTCATCTCTTATGGAACTTATGGCAAGTCCACGTCCGCATGACGTATTGTGTGATAACTCTCGTCTTGTAAATTTTGGCTTTGGATTGCAAATATATTGGCAATGCTGATCTATAGTGGGCAGGACAGTGCACAGTTGTATTTGTCACGGAGTGAGATCGCGTCTCTCAGTGTCCTGTCCACGGCAGAGGTGTTTGAACATTATCATTACCGCCTGATGCGCGCGAGTCACCGTGAGGTTACGAGCGCTGTGGTGACTGGCGCCTCGCCTGTCTGATCCTGTCGACGGCCCCCTCTTGCCCTGCATGTTAACTGCTGGGAGTTTGTCATCGTGCTTCTCTGGCGCCGTTGCTAGCGAGCCTGCGCCACATGCTGGTGCTGTTCTGATCATGTGTCTGACCGATGGATCCTACCGTTCCAGTGAAGCCAGCGACAGGGCGGTGTCGGCGGCGAACAAGAGTGACGTGTGTCGCACGCTGCTGCGGTGTCTGGACCTGGCCGTGTACCCCTCCGAGGTGGTGGTGGCTGTGGGTGAGTACTTGATCCTGCCGCGGTGTCTGGACCTAGCCATGTACCTTTCCGAGATGGTGGTGGCTGTGGGTGAGTACTTGATCCTGTTGCGGTGTCTGGATCTGGCCGTGTACCCCTCCGAGAGGGTGGTGGCTGTGGGTGAGTACCGTACCCTGCTGCGGTGTCTGGACCGGGCCGTGTACCACTTCGAGGTGGTGGTGGCTGTGGGTGAATGTTATACCCTTTGGTGGTGTCTGGACCTGGCTCCGTACCCTCCGAGGCGGTGGTGGTGGCCGTGAGTGAATGCTGCACCTTCTTGTATAGCTTGGCAGACATGGCTTGCACCTGGTTGTGTTCTAAAAGTGGCTCATCACGTCTGAATGAACTGAATGGTTCGCTGCCAGTGGGTGGGTCAGCTGTGGTGTACAAACCTTTACGGTCGTATGCGAATGTGGAGCCTTCTGCGGCCTTCCATCTGCTTGCCAGTACACGAATGGCCAAGTTTGCTCACGGCGGTTTTTTTTTTACTCGGTCCTTCTCACACAGTCATTGTCAGTCTGTTAAACCACCATAGCTGCCAAGCGTCGTGACTTGTATGTCGGCTCGCACTACTTGCTGACCTGACCTGCCCCTCGGCCCGTGCAGGAGAGTGTCTGTACGCGCTCTCGGAGGACAACGAGTCAGTAGCGGTGCTGGTGCGCGAGCAGGCGCCGCTAGTGCGCGCGCTGCTGACCGCCGACGGCGACTCGGGTGACCGCGCCCTGCTGAGGGTGCTCGCCCTGGGTGAGTTGGTGGCCCGGGAGGGGGGTAGTCCAGAGACGACCGTGCCCTGCTGAGGGTGCTCGCCCTGGGTGAGTCGGTGACACGGTGACCCGGGATCGGAGCAGCCCAGGGACGACCGCGCGCTGCTGAGAGTGCTCGCCCTGGGTGAGTCGGTGACACGGTGACCCGGGATCGGAGCAGCCCAGGGACGACCGCGCGCTGCTAAGGGTGCTCGTCCTGGGTGAGTCGGTGACCCGGGATAGGGGCAGTCCAGGGACGGCCGCGCCCTGCTGAGGGTGCTCGCTTTGGGTGAGGCGGTGGCACGGCATCAGGGCAGCCCGGGGCTGACCGCTAACATTGGCAGCGTTGGCGGACTGCAGTGCTTAACGGGATCAAGTGCTTGACACATTTTGTTATTGAACTGTGTTGATTACGAACTGTTGAACTGTTTTGAAGCAGCAACGTTTTTATCGGTTTTGGGATATAGGCGACGATGTTCGTGATTGGACATTTGTGAGCATCACAGTCAGGTGCGTAAGATGCTTAATTTTGTCGGCGACTTTTCAGTTTACTGATACACTTACTAGTTACAATTAGTCTGTATTACCTGCCATTTGTTAACCGCATAGTCAGTGTGAATTTTTACGTAACAGAGATTGTACATGTTCACTTGTGACGAGCCAACAGCCACCAGCGTCTCCTACCCTCGCCAGGTATTCTGATCAACGTGAGCAGCGATGGTAATGACCTGAGACCGGGTCAGGCCATGACCCTGATCACCCGCACTCTGACCTACGACGCCCGTAACCTGGCCTGCAAGGTCTCGTCCAATGCAGAAGCCGAGGACTACGAGCTGCAGGTGGGCTGCTATGCGCTTCAGTGAGGCTTCGCTGCTTGTCGTCTCTGGCTGCGGCAGTGCCGTTCGTGTCATGAAACGGTTTGCTGTTAACCCCAACACGTTCAATTCGGCGTCATTTGTCTTATTATGGTTAACGCAATACCATTGGCCTTGTTGTGGCTCTGCCAAGATTATATGTCCGCTTAAGTTACCCTCTCATCATCTGTCTTACCAAGCGCGGCAAGCGCACGACATCAGTACAGGTGAGACCAGATCGCTGACGGGGGGTGCAGTCCATTGCAAACAGCCTCAGCCAGCTGACCAGCCTCGAACATCGAGCTGACCGGCGACGGCTCGAGCTCCGTGACATGACCTGTGCGGGGTCTGTGTTGCAGCTGGCCGACCTGTCGCTGCTGCTGAACGCCCAGCGCGTGGCCTTGGAGATCCTCACTGACCTCAGCAGCGGGGACGGTACGGGACGTGCTCGTGCTAACGGCGGCTAGCGTGCTGTCGGCGGGCGGCAGTTGGTAGGAGTCGTTACACTATCCCCGACACCCACAAATGGCTGTGTACTCTGGTCCCAGCATATCACACCGGCCCAGCCGGCTCGGCCAGTCAAGCTCGTGCGTGGACTTCGGGCAACGACCGGAAGGCTACGCACTTCGCTGCCGTGTGCGCCTGCGGCCACTGCATGGACCGCGCTGTGCTGTTTCACACCCGACCATTGCCATGGACGGCGCTGTGCTGTTTCACACCCGACCATTGCCATGGACGGCGCTGTGCTGTTTCACACCCGACCATTGTCATGTACCGCGCCGTGCTGTGGTTCACACCCGGCCATTGCATGGATCGCGCTGTGCTGTGTTTCACACCCGACTGGTGACCGCACGACAGATGCCTCTGATGGCTGGGCGGACCAGGACTCGCTGGAGCACGAGGACGAGCTCGATGACGAGGACCAAGAGGACGCCGCCGAGATGATGGAGGAGGACGGCTGGAGGGACGACGGCGCGGCCTCCGCCCTACCGAACGAGGTCAGAGCCGTCACGCGGGTCCCGCAGTGGTCAGACGTCTGTTGGCTTCTGCCCAAACCGAGGGGCAACGCTCCACTGCCGAATCCATGGAGTTGCTCAGCCTCATGAGCAGGCTGGGGCCTATCGCATTGCAGCGAGCTGACAAACCTGAAGGCGGTTTTAGCTTCGCAGCAGCGCGCGCGCGAGTTTGTACACTTGTGCTGCGAGTCGGCCCAGCCCGGCCGGGCCCGGGTACCTCGGACGTCGGCGGCCACCCTCTGCCTTGCTGACATTCGCTTCCGCCCTCAGCTGCACGAGGCGATCATGGGCGGGGGTCTGCTGCGGACTCTGCTCGCTAAGGCGGACTGTCCGCCGGCCAACGTGGCAGACATCCTGACGCAGACACCGGCTGGCAGCCAGGTCTGCAAAAGGTCGGTAGGTCCCGGAACGGGACCGAAATCCTGCCCCTTTAGGGGTCGCCGATCGCCGCTGGGGTCCAGACGTGCCAGCAGTGCGGTGTTGGACACGGGTGCGGATTCCTACAATTGACAGCTGTGGTAATTGGTCAGCATTTTACTGGTGTGTTTACACGGAGCGTGGCTGGTGCGTAGCTTTCCGTCGTCGAATCGCATCTCAAAGCAGTCGCATCAGAAAGATTGGCGACATCGTGCGTACATATCGTGTTATCGCTGATGGCGCGTTGCTTTGGTGATAAGCTGTTATCGTTTCACGAAAAGTAGTGACTGTAAGGTTCGGACACATTGGTAGCTGAAAAGTTTGCGCCAAAGATTGTTAATTCACACCCAATGTAAATGATTGTTATGTTCGAATTGCAAACTTTCCAATTTTCCGTTGCAGCCGCAGAGAGCAAAACGTTTGAAAGTTCCAAAGTCTCGCGAATCGCACAAATTAAGGCACATTTCTCGCCTTAGACATAACCTCTCTATAACATACTTCTTCTCTCTGATTTTTGGGTGGTGGTGACCCGCCACCATGTTCTGTTCATCGCAGACCCCCGTCCATTGCGTGCAGCAATTACAGACGGCATTGCTTCAATATTCGGACACTTGGAGGGCAGGGACGCCGATAGTTTTCATGCCACCGCATCCCCGGCCAGGGGCTCACTGTCTGTTGCTCCTCCCGTCGTGCGAGATCGGCCAGTCAGCATCGAACCGGGCGGCGGTCGACCCAGCATCTAGGCGCCTCGGGCTCGGTAAATCCGCCAATAAAGTTGTATGCCAGGGCTTGGGGTCAGCGAGCAGCGCATGAATAGACAACGAGTTATGCATGCAAGGGGACGCCGGAGAGCCAGAATTCTAGTGGCATGAGTTCAAATTCACCTGCAGTGCACACCACGCTGGATGAATTTTGGAATACTGACAGACGGCGACGCGTCACTGCTCCGCGTGGCCCATCTTCGCACCTGGCGGCCCCCCACGCTCGCGGGGTCGCTTCGTCCGCGCCCCAGCCGCGCTGACACCGCCGTCACGTTCGCTGCAGGTTCCGCACCCTGCGCTGCGGCGTGTTCCTGTGCCTCAGCAACCTAGTGACGGCGCTGTCGCTGCCGGAGCTGGGCGGCGACGCTGAACTGGTGGGCCTTTGGAGACGCATGGCACAGCTGGTGTTCGGCGACGAGGCCGGTGAGGAGCGGCGACTGGCGGCCGACGCCGTCTCTTGTAGAATGCCGCTGGTGTACTTCATGTGGTGTGGGTCACACGGGCAGAACACTGCGCATGCGCACATATTCCTCGCGAACGAGAACTGCCGGCTACAGTGAAGGCAACGAACTGAGTGACGCGTTTGTTGTTTGCGTGTTTTTTCGCGACGAGGTTTGTGTGGTCCGCCAATTGAAGCAATTGTGAGTCCGTTTGCGTTCTTTGTCACGTTTTTAGTACCATCCCGTCATCCGCCGTCAGTCGCGGACGCCGAGCTGCTGGAGTCGGCCGGCGCCGCGATGCGCGCCGCTCTGCAGAAGCTGCTGGAGGCCGGCCGGCCGGGCCCGGCCGACCTGACGCCGGCCGACCTGCAGCGCATGACCTCGCGCGCCGCCGCCTGCGCCGACGCCGCGGCTCGCGCCGGCCTGGTGCGCGGCGTGGCGCTGCTCGGTTGCCTGCGCGTCAAGGGACGCGACCTGCTGGGTGCCGCCGACGCCGAGCTGGTCCAGGTGCGATCCGGTGCCGGAGAGGGTGCACCGGAGCAGGCACGGGCATGCGCCGTGGCCTGGAACGGTCTGTGTGGAGTTGCCATAGTGATGGTGTGAAGGCACCTAACCGATGCCACGAGACTGGTTGGGCGGTGGTTTGATGCGACAGTTAAGGTTTGCTCCGGCGTCGGTGAATGAATTCTCTAATACTAGCAGTATTCAATAAGAGAGCACAAATAGACTGGGACGGCCCCTGTTGAAGTACATTCTCTGACATTGTCTGCCCCGCAGGCGGTCGGCCAGTTCCTGGTGGAGCTGGCGGCCGCTGATCCTGAGCTGCTGGTCGTGGCCGAGGCCCTGGACGCCCTGATGGACCTCTACGGAGAGGACTGCACGGACCTGGCGGCGTCCGAGATCCAGCTGGTAGCCAGGCTGCGCGCCCTGCAGCCCGGCCTGAAGGCCAAGGTAAGCCGTGTCCCTGCACAGCTGCAGATCGAGGTCGGCCCTCGCAAGCTGCTCCAGTTACACAGCACTGTGAGACCATGCGGTTTTTGCGGTATTTTGTGGGTGAATGTGGGAGAAAGGGGGTTCGTGTTGCGTTGTATGGAGCTCATTGTTTTTTTTTTTTTTTTTTGGGGGGGGGGGGGGTGCGGGTGGGGGTCGTATTAGTCACGGGCCGTAATTGGGCCGAACTTTTGATGTGGTGGTGATATTACTTCTTGCTTTGGGTGTGCGACGTTTTTGCAGTTGTGCATGTACCGAAGTGTACAAAAAGCCACATTAACGTGATTGAGATGCTACCTGTTGACCCTCTGGTGTGTATGTTCAGATTTACAAGATAGTCGTGATTTGGCGCCCACAGATATCTCTGCAGCGTCGCCATTTTGCCCGGCACTATCCCCTGGTGGCGACAGTGCGAACTAACCTGCCTCGCTTCATCAAGTACAAGGCAGCGCGAACGGCGGTAGTGACTAATGGTAATGGCGTCCATTGAGCGGTTCGGGACTAGCTTCCGCTGCGGACATAACGGAAGCGTCACGACGGCTTCTCGTCCGCCCACCGCGCTGTAGTATATTAAAGGGCGGCGTATTTGCTTCCGTGGTGCTTGCCGCGCCGGTGGTGCGGACTGTCGTGCCTTATCTGCAGCTGCGCGGACGTTTTGAGGTGGAGCCTCCGCATCCCGCCCTTTTTGACGTGTGTAGACGTAAGGATTACGGTGCGTTGGACGAACGCATGGCCGGGGACGTGGGTGTATTGCGCGATGCAGAGCTGGTGCAGTAATTCGTCGATATGTGCGATGTACTCGCTTTATAGCTGGTATCATGCCGCTGACCCTCAATATATTTGGTGCTCTATGGCTGTGTTTGTTGCCTGGGGGAGGAGGATGTAATCAAATGGGGCAGTGGTTTGAGTCAAGTGTATTGTAGCCTGAGCCCTCAAGTAAAGATTAAGGACATTGTTTCCAGTTGCACGTTCGATAAGACCACCAGAAAATTGAACCTCTAAACAGCCAGTTTCTTTACCGGTCAGCGTTGGCTGCGCGTTGCAGGCGAACAACAGGTGTTGCAGCAATACAACACCGTCTCGCGCAGATATTGTGGAGTTCCGGACGCATGCCGACAGAGCTTCCTTTCGTTCCCTTTATTGGGAGACTGGCCCGTATTAGCGCTCCGTGCACACACGTCACGCATCTGGGAGGCGGTGTGGCGTACAGGGAATAGCCTGCTCCGTCCGCTGGGTGTCATCAGATACACTGATCGAAAGAACACTGTATTCATTCATAATTATCGTGCGTATAGCGAGACAAGGCGGGGTGCTATTCTACGTCAGTTTTGCCGCAACAAAATATCATGTGTGGCGTCGTCCTAATCCATTGTGACCGCTGCAGTGTTTTTCATGGAATGGTACCGCAGAACAGCAGAACTAGCCGCTCTTAGGCTCCAAGCCAATTTGTGTTCTCACACCTTGCCTTAATATTCGCGTTTCTTATATGAACACGCTTAATGGAACGCACCTGCCAAAACCATCAGTTGCAATTAACAATCATTACATAACGTTAGACAATGTCATAATTATCCGTAAAGTTTATTGAGGCCTGGAAGTATGCTTTCATTAGTGCCCGTTTTGTTATACCAAGGTCAATGTGCATTTAATCAGCTTCTTGCGCGTTTGCTCAATTGTTGAAATTAAATCATTCGTTGTTTTCGGTAGGTCATAAATCAGTTCGGCCATGTGCATTTACATGAGTTTCAGCTATCTAACCTTTCAATGAAATTCTTTCCCCTTTCAAAGCAATATAGGACAGTTGGATGGGAAACATTCGAATATGGCGAAATACGACCCATGCTTTACGAGACAAAATCCAAGATGTACCATCAGTTAACATATTATGCATCCGAATATCAGGTCAAATTACAAAACACATTGAAACACACGTACATCCTCTTTCAACCATTTTGATGCCATGGAAAGTTCGAAGCATCGAATCATCATGCTGTTATTGGGCGACTGAACAAGTTTAAAGTTACGCTTGATCTAAGCGGTTTGTTTAAATGTCATTCTTCCCCCAATCGGGAGGGATTCGGGAACTTGTAAACGGCGTTTGTTTGGACATGACTTTAGAATCTGCGTGTTTCCAATTAGGTCAGAGCGTACGAGATTTTTTATTGCGAGTTTTGCGCGTACGCTGGTCTGGCGCTGCCTTCTGCAGATGCATTGTCATGCGCCGTGACAGAGATGTGTCATGCGCCGTGATAGAGATGTGATAGTCATTTCAATATAGATCGAGTTGCGGAGCCGGCAGTCCCCATGAGAGCGCTTAAATTCGTACACTTTATTGGTGCGTTTTAGTTGGTTATGGTCTCCGGTCACGTTGTTTTTCTTTACAAGGGTGCTAACTGCCCTGCTCTTATAACAGGTGGCAAGTCGTCCTCCAGTGCGTTCGTCAGCTGGTGTGATATTTGACCTCACGGTGTTCTGCAAAGCTCTTTCGTCCATCTGATATGACGTGGACATCTGATTTCAAAAGTTGATGGACCAGTTTCTTGTCGAGTGGTTTCAGGTTTTGCCGACTCAGGGTGGACCCCATTTCTTTGTCAACTGCGCTGTTGCAGTAGCCGTTATTACTGAACAATTGCTTGCACCTTCTAAGACCGTTGTACGTGCTGGATCAGCTAGAGCAGTATTTTAGAGCGCGTCATACGAACTGATGACGGCCGTGCGGTACTGACCTGGGTGTCGACAACCGTTTAAAATTTCTTGAAATCGATGTGAATGCGAGCAACGAATCTTTTGTGACGAAAGTGCACCGTAAACCCACCGACGCTGACCGGCGATGAACGCGGCTAGCAAAAGTCCAGAGCGCTACCGCGCGGCCGATATCCGTTCGTTTTTATCACGCGCTCTAAAATCTTGCTCTAGGTGGTTCAGCACGTACAACGAACTTGAAAGGTGTAAGCAATTATCCTCTAATAGCGGCTATTCCAACAGCGCAGTCGACCGAAAAATTAAAAAGAAAAGAAAGAAAATCCAACTTGAATCGACAAGACCTGAAACCACTCGACAAGAAACCGGCGCATTAACTTTGTTATCGAAATCAAATGTCCCTGTCATGCAAGATAGACGAGAGAGCTTTGCAAAGCATCGGCAGGTCAAACATCACACCGACTGAACAACACCCTGAAGCACGCTTTACCACCTATTACAAGACATATTACGAGACAAGACTATTGCCACCTATTACAAGAGCGGGACAGCTAGCAGCCTCGTAATGAAAAACAACGTGACCGGAGACCATAGCCAATTAAAGTGCACCAATAAAGTGTATGAATTCAAGTGCTTTCACGGGGACTGCCGGCTCCGCAACTAGACCTATATTGAAATGACCAGCGCATCTATATCACGGTGCACGCCAATGCATCTGCAGGAGGCAGTGCCAGACCAGCAAACGCCTTAAACCCACAATAAAAATCCTATGCTCTGACCTAATTGAAAACGCATGGATTCCGAAGTCATGTCCTAACAAACGCCGTTTACCTATTCCCGAAGCCATCCTCATCAGAGGAAAAAAATGCTTGATTTAAACAAGCCGCTCAGTTCAAACATCACTTTGGACCTGTTCAGTCACCAAATAACAGCATGGTGATTCGGTGCTTTGACTTTGCCATGTTGTCAAAATGGCTGGAAAAGTGATGCACGTGGGTTTGAACGTGTGCTGTGCTTTGACCTGATATTTGGATGCATAATATGTTACCTGATGGTACACCTTTGGTTGCCCGTACAGCATGCGTCTTATTTTGCCATATTCGAATGTTTCCCGTCCAACTGTCTTACATTGCGTTGAGAATGGGGAACGAATGTCCTTGAAACGTTAGCTACCTGAAACTGATATAAATGAACACAGGCGAAGTGATTTATGACTTACGAAAAACAAGAAATGATTTAATTCGAACAATTGAACAAACACGCAAGAAACTGATTGAAATTACATTTTCCCTTGGACATGACATGACTTGCATTAAGGTATATCTATATGCCAATGACAATAATGTGGAGGAGACAAGTTAATTATTCGCAGTAGCCTTGTACAGCTTATTGCAGTGTCTTGCAGGGAAAGCTTACGATGATCTTTGCGA